CAGAGGCCCCGGGGGTCGGGGTTTCTTCTTCTAGTTGTAGATTGGTAGCGGAGCGGCTAGCGCTCCTAGGCCCTTGTAGTTTTGTCTACCGTCTGTACGGTGTCTTCCTTCGCTTTCAATGTCGACCAGTGGTCCTACTAGTCTCTACGATGGGTACCTGAAGCGTAGCGGTGCTCAACAACCTGATGACGATTCCCCGCCCCGAGAGCGTGATGGCGATGACTGTGTTCCTAGGGATGACGTTGGCGGTGGTCCACTTCGTGACGATCGTTCATCGGGCGAGGAGTGGAAGCAATGGAGTGACGGCTGGGAAACCAGTCACTGGGGTCACTCATGGGGTGGCGACAGCTGGAACTGGAATAGCTCTGGGTGGGCTCAGGATTCTGGTTCGTGGGCTGTCCGTGATAGGACTTGGAACGATGGAAGGTTTTGGGGTTCAGCTTCAACGGGAACAGGATCTGCTGATGGAGGTCCCGAACGGGACTCCAAGGACTCGTCAGTTGATCAATGGGGTCGCTACGTCTCTCTTGGCGACTCGAAGGGACAAGACGGGAGCCTACCAGATGGGTGGGGTCCCTCCACAGATGGTCAAGGAAGAGGCGCTCGTCCCCGACGCGAGGAAGGAGGCCGAGGACCGTCCGAAAAGATGATCGTGCCCTCCTTCTCGGGCACTACACCGGGCAACGGGGATGACCTGGGCACCTCGGCGCGGTCATATCTGCGCCAGATTGCTGCATGGCGTCGCATGACTCGCATGAGTGAAGATCAACAGGCCTTGACGCTGTACCAGAACTTGTCGGATCGTGCCTGGATAGATGCAGAGCGTCTAGACATGGATAGGCTCGGCTCTCGCTCAGGAGTGGACTACTTGATTGAATGGATCAAGGATAGGTACCTAGATGTGCAGGTGACTCAGATCGGCCGCAGCTTGTCAGGCTTCTTCAGAGGATTGCACCGCAAGGCCAACCAATCGGTTCGGGACTACCTTGCGGAGTTTGACCGTGCGCATGC